TGCCTCTATCACGTCCCACCTCCCCAGTAGTCACAGAAAAGAACAGCACAACTTTCCTCCAGGGGCCTGAAAGGAAGGTAGAGAGCCACCGGACCTGGCTGTGTGTCCTTCCTTGCCAACTGTACTCCAGCAGCCCCTGTCCCCTCTGATCCCAAGACCAGAGGTGCTGCCCTCCTTGTTTCCTGGACAAAGCACAAAGGGATGGCCTGTTTGGCTTAAGCCTACCCACGAAAGGACTGTGGCTGCCTGAATACACAGCTCTGGGCAGTTTCCTCCTGGGTGGTACTCACTAGAGTGCCACTGGAGTGGTCCTCACTGGTGTCAGCACTGGGGAAGGACAGCGGTCACAGGTACTGAGTAGGTGGGGAGATGTGGTGCTAAAAGGACTGGTATTAGCCTCTTCACATTCCTTCAGAGCACTAGGGACAGGGGGCAGACCCCTCTCCTGTAAAGTACAAGTGCACCTCCCATAGGTCTCCAAGTTCTCCACCCCTTTATCTTCTGGCTCTGAACGAAGGCCATGGGAGTATGTGCTCCTACACAAGTGGCAGGTCACAGCTTCTTTAGACCACCCACCCCGGGCTGGCAATCTCGTGTACACTGGCCTTTGTGCATGCACAGGAACCAGCAGCTTCATGGCACCACCTGATGCTATTTGCTCTCTCCTTAGAGGGATGAGCCCTGCTGCTGAGGGGGAGCTTCTGCCTGCTGGGTGCTCCATTTACTCACTTCCTTGGCAACCACAGAGCTCCAGCTGAGGACAGGGAACTGGGACAGAAAGCCTGGCTTACTTAGAAGCGCCTCATCCTACCTTTACCCACTCAAAGGGGAGTCCTTCACATCTTATATCTAATGAGATGGGAAAAAAAAAATCTGAGGGTACCATCAAGGGAGGCCCTTTCCAGGGACCCCAGGTCTGTGGAGTACTCCCATGAGTAGTGGACACTGGTATCCCCATTACTACTACCCTGCCATACAGCCCAACTCTGGTTCCTAGTTTGGTTTGAGTCCTTCATGCCTCATTCTGCCCGTTCCCCCACAGCACTGGCAGGAAGCAGAGATGCACACACACGAATCCCTGCAAGAAAAGATTGCCTAAATCCCCGCTTTCACTGGCCAAGACAGACTACTGAGAGAACACAGCCACTCGCTTTTCCTAACCCTCAGAGCAGAGGTTAAATCCGTCCCTCAGGAATTGCTTCTGAAGGGGAGAAAAGAGGCCTCCTGTCAAAGCTCACTACTCCAGGGGTTCGCTGTGGCCCTTTGCCTTTGGGTTCTGTCTGCTTCCCTGGCCCTGGCCTCAAGTGTTTTGAGATGTAGAAGGGGAGCTCCCTAGACCCCAATCCCTCCAAGGCGCTATAATGAAGACCTCCCCCGAATGACTGTTGGTGCCAAAGACCCAGTTCCTGGCAAACTGTAGAGATGGTGAGTGGGGTATGGTCCAAGTGCCCAGAAGGGTGAATTCCCACTGATGGGATCTGTCCCCACCTGCCAGTCCCTGATGAGCATTAACTTCCCTCTCCCAGGGGCCTGGCACTTTTCTCTTTGCCCCTGGTGGCCATGCTTTCTCATTCAGCCTTGTACCAGGCCTGCATTTCTGTATATAATGCTGTGTATTGTGTGTATGTATTTATTCCTAGACAAGTGTGCTCATCTGCAGCCCTTGCCTGAGGACAAGGTTTAGGATTGGGTGAAAATCAGAACACTAGGGCCTTCTCCCCAACTCCTTGGGACCTCGGCCAGTCCCAAGACTGCCCTGACAATCAGGCAGGTGCCCCGTCAGTCAAACCTCTGCCACCCCAGCAGGGATCGTGCATTCAGAGCAAAGGTCTGAGGTGATCAGGCCCGCCTCACGGCTAGTCAGTAGGCTTGGCTCTTGAGGGCACCGCTGGTGGGGACCTCTACAACTGGACCCTTAGGCCCCACCTTCCCCACAGCCAGGCCGCATGGGCCTGACCATGAGATGAGTGGGCACTTCCCCCACCCCAAGCACATCAGGCAGAGGGTGGAGAGCAGCTTTTGATTTTACTTTTATTTCTAAAGTGGTGCCTGTACCTCCAGCCCCCAGGGGGCCTTCCCTGGCCCCACTTCTCTGCCCCACCCAGGCATTGCCATCCCAGCACTTTGCTCTACATTACCCATAGATGCCCTTTGACGAATGTACCTGACTGTGTATGTATTTAAAAAGGACTCCCGGGCATCAGAGATTTTATGGCTCTGTATCCAATAAAAGATGGTGAAACTGGTATATCTACCCCAGGAAAGTAAATGTCATGTGGCCGGGTTTGTCATTTTGTAACTACAGGCTTTCTGCAACTAAAGTGCACTGAGGTAGGAAGAAGGTTGATAATCCCACAGAGTAGAGAATTGGAAAGACCTGCCTCAGGCCTGTGAAGAGTGCTGCAGGAAGGCGACCCAAGCCACATCCCCACCTGCTTTCCTTCAGCATCTGCATCCAAACTGCCTCAGAACAAGACATTTCTCACTGGGGAGAAGCCACCTTCAAAGATAAACCTCGCACAACAGCAGCAGGAGTTTCCCACTCCCAACCTCCCTGCCTGGTTTGGCTACCTCTGAAAGCAATGCCCAGCCAATTAGGGGCTTTGCCTAGGGAACACCAATCTATTACCATGGCTTGACCTGGATTTAACCATTTTAAAAAAAATGGGCTTGTACAATTAATTGAATGGCTAGGGTCCTAAAACATTCAAAAATGGCAGAAAACAGATATTCAGTGAGTCAAGATAACACCATTTGCCTCCAGCTCCAATAATTACTAAGAACAGCTCCAGCTCTAAGAGCAGTTATCGGGACCAGTTTAACTGAGGTGGATTATCTGTGCCAGTCACTCCAAATTTTGACTGGTCACATGAAAGCAGAATGTACCCACAAGGTCACTGGTGACTGAAGAAAAGACTGAGCATATACTCTCTCAGCTCCCTTCTCAATGTGCTCAAGAGGTCACCAGAATTGAGCATGTGATCTCCCCAAAACACTCCTCCCAAAGTTGGAGGGGAAAATCTCTGAGCCAAGAGAATGTGAAGATGGAAGCACAGCAACACTAGAGAAGCCCTGGGAGGCAGAGCTAAGTAAGATGCCAGAAGGAAAGGAAGCAACTCCACATATTCTAGCCACTTTTGGGATGAAGAATGCAACCATTAAGGGCCGGCCAAATAGCTCTGTGGATTAAAGCACCTGCAAGCAGGCACAGGAGCCTGGGGTTTGATCCCCAGGCCTGCCATGCTGGCCCCGCCTCTGGGGTACATTGACATAGCAATTGAGACTGGGCATGGTGGTGTGCACCTGTAATCCCAGCTCTTGGGAGGCTGTAAACAGGAGGATCACTACAAGTCTGACCTAGTAGTGAGACCCTGAACACCCTGTAGACCTCTCCCGGAAA